TCGTTATGCCAATCAATGAAAAGTAGGCATGGGCATTTGGGGTGGTGGGGTGTTCGTATCTTTTGCATACTGGGTGCATATACATATATGACTCAATAAGATCCTCAAGACATGATGTTGTAGTTCATAAAGCTTTTGAACTCATTTGCTGTAATGATACCATTGTTGCTTAACACTACTACAGTTTTATCAGCAAAGAAGTGACATTACAATGGATAAACCACAGTTTTTTGGAAAAAGAGGAGCTAAGTAATCCATTTGCTATTATTTCAGTGGATAACTTGCCTCAACAGGAAAAAGCGTAAGTGTTTTGCTATGTTTATCCTGCTTCTTTATATTACTTCAGCTATTTATCGTTTATTGTTTTAACTTATTCTTTCTTAATATGTGTTTTATTGTAGTGATTGTGGTATATATTGTTCTGCATTTGCGGAGTATTTCATTGAAGGCAAGGAGTTACCAGATGACAAGAACATGTTTGATCCTACACGTCTTCGATTAACATATGTAGCATTACTATACATTTATGGTAAAAAGAAGCAGTTGGAATCTCTTGTTAGTGAAGATGAGTCTACAGGAAGACTAGATAAACCTTCTGTTTCACAAAGGCGAAAGATTAAGAACAAGAAATAATTTTTTGTTCTTTTCAGTAATTGACTACATACTTTTGATTGAAATGCAGATTATTATGCTATATATTATGATAGAATTAAAGACTATAATATTTTTGAAATTTTTTTTATGAAGGGATACAAACCATTATATTATAATAAAGAAGTGCAAAATAGTGAAAATTTGGTATCTAGAATAATTAACCGTAATTACATAATTTAATATTTTGTCTCTATTAATTAACTGTAATTACACTGGAGATTTTTAGTGTAAAACCACTATGTCCTGTATTTAATACTGGATGTCAATACTCCAAATTTCGATGTTAGTATAATTTGAACAATATACTGGAACAAATATAATCCAGTATATTATAATGGAGAAGTGGAAAATAGTGGAAATTATGTAATTAGAACAATTTACTGGAATTAATGAATTTAATATTTAGTGTCCTGTATATTATATTATGGTTGAGTTTTGTTTGGTTCCTGTATATTTTACAGGAATTCTACCGTGTTTAAGCTTGTTGTCCAGTATATTATACTGGAAAACTAGCATCTGTATTCTGTATTTAATATTCAGTGTCCTGTATAATTTACTGGAGTTTTATATTGTAAAACCACTATATCCTGTAATTATTAGTGGAAATGAATATTGCTGATTTTTTTATCCTATATTCATCCAATTTTTATTACCTGCTATAGTATATGCTGGAATCGCTACTCATGAAGGAATATAATCCAGTATATTATAATGGAGAAGTGGAAAATAGAGGAAATTTGGTAATTAGAACAATTTGCTTGAATTAAATAATTTAATTTTTAGTTTCCTGTATAATTTGCTGGAGTGTTATATTGTATAACCACTATATCCTGTAATTACTACTGGAATGGAATAATGCAGATTTTTATATCCTATATTCATCCAATTTTTATTACCTCCTATAGTACATGCTGGAATCGCTACTCATGAAGGAATATAATACAGAATATAATAATGAAGAAGTGGAAAATAGTGGAAACTTGGTATCCAGAACAATTCGCTGGAATTAAATAATTTAATATTTAGTGTCCTGTAAAATTTACTGGAGTTTTATATTGTACAACCACTATATCCTGTAATTGTTACTGGAAATGAATATTGCTCATTTTTTTATCCTATATTCATCCAATTTTTATTACCTCGTATATTATATGCTGGAATCGCTACTCATGAAGGAATATAATCCAGTATATTATAATGGAGAAGTGGAAAATACTGGAAATTTTGTAATTACAACAATTTACTGAAATTAAATAATTTAATATTTCGTTTCCTGTATATTATACTGGAGTTTTATATTGTAAAACCACTATATCCTGTAATTATTACTGGAATGAAATAATGCAGATTTTTCTATCCTATACTCATCCAATTTTTATTACCTGCAATAGTACATACTGGAATTGCTACTCATGTAGGAATATAATCTAGTATATTATAATGGAGAAGTGGAAAATAGTTGAAATTTGGTAATTAGAACAATTTGCTGGAATTCAATAATTTAATTTTTAGTTTCCTGTATAATTTGCTGGAGTGTTATATTGTAAAACCACTATATCCTGTAATTACTACTGGAATAGAATAATGCAGATCTTTTTATCCTATATTCATCCAATTTTTATTACCTGCTATAGTATATGCTGGAATCGCTACTCATGAAGGAATATAATACAGAATATAATAATGAAGAAGTGGAAAATAGTGGAAACTTGGTATCCAGAACAATTTGCTGGAATTAAATAATTTAATATTTAGTGTCCTGTATAATTTACTGGAGTTTTATATTGTACAACCACTATATCCTGTAATTGTTACTGAAAATGAATATTGCTCATTTTTTTATCCTATATTCATCCAATTTTTATTACCTCGTATATTATATGCTGGAATCGCTACTTATGAAGGAATATAATCCAGTATATTATAATGGAGAAGTGGAAAATATGGGAAATTTTGTAATTAGAACAATTTACTGAAATTAAATAATTTAATATTTCGTTTCCTGTATATTATACTGGAGTTTTATATTGTAAAACCACTATATCCTGTAATTACTACTGGAATGAAATAATGCAGATTTTTTTATCCTATACTCATCCCATTTTTATTACCTGCTATAGTACATGCTGGAATTGCTAGTCATGAAGGAATATAATCTATTATATTATAATGGACAAGTGGAAAATAGTTGAAATTTTGTAATTAGAACAATTTGCTGGAATTCAATAATTTAATTTTTAGTTTCCTGTATAATTTGCTGGAGTGTTATATTGTAAAACCACTATATCCTGTAATTACTACTGGAATAGAATAATGCAGATTTTTTTATCCTATATTCATCCAATTTTTGTTTCCTGCTATAGTATATGCTGGAATCGCTACTCATGAAGGAATATAATACAGAATATAATAATGAAGAAGTGGAAAATAGTGGAAACTTGGTATCCGGAAAATTTGCTGGAATTAAATAATTTAATATTTAGTGTCGTGTATAATTTACTGGAGTTTTATATTGTACAACCACTATATCCTGTAATTGTTACTGGAAATGCATATTGCTCATTTTTTTATCCTATATTCATCCAATTTTTATTGCCTCGTATATTATATGCTGGAATCGCTACTCATGAAGGAATATAATCCAGTATATTATGATGGAGAAGTGGAAAATACTGGAAATTTTGTAATTAGAACAATTTACTGAAATTAAATAATTTAATATTTCGTTTCCTGTATATTATACTGGAGTTTTATATATTGTAAAACCACCATATCCTGTAATTACTACTGGAATGAAATAATGTAGATTTTTTTATCCTATACTCATACAATTTTTATTACCTGCTATAGTACATGCTCGAATCGCTACTCATGAAGGAATATAATCTAGTATATTATAATGGAGAAGTGGAAAATAGTTGAAATTTGGTAATTAGAACAATTTGCTGGAATTAAATAATTTAATTTTTAGTTTCCTGTATAATTTGGTGGAGTGTTATATTGTATACCCACTATATCCTGTAATTACTACTGGAATAGAATAATGCATATTTTTTTATCCTATATTCATCCAATTTTTGTTTCCTGTATGTTGCACCGGAGTAATATATTGTTAAAGCAGTAAACCCTGTATTTAATACTGGATATGAAAAATCACTAAAAAAAATGACTAAAAATAAAGAACTCAACTAGTATAATATACTGGAGATAAAGCTTATACAAGGCAC